GGGTCTGTGTGAGTGGGGTTCTGTGTGAGTGGGGGGCTGTGTGAGTGGGGGACGTGTGAGTGGGGGGCTGTGTGAGAGGGAGGCTGTGGTGTGAGGCTGCGCAGAACCAGTAGTAGTGGCTTTTTCTCACCTACGCTCCATACCATGTGCACTGGTCTTTCTTTGTCATTGAAAGTGCTGATTTATTAGGCCGTGTGCTTCAAGGGCACGGGGAGACTGCGTGCAGGAGCAGGTCTGAACTGGGAAAGTGAGAATTACTGTATCAGATGCTACCAATTAACTGGTGACAGGCACAGCAGGTGGGACGGAACTGGGCTGTATCTGTGACGTAGCAGAAGCCCTCCCGATATACTGTGTTTGAACCTGGGGGAGCTTATCTGCTCATCCCTCCCCCTTCCTCCTGCCCACTGCCTCTTCCCATCCAAGCAGGCGCGGTTTCCACGGCCGTGAGTGCCGAGACCGACTTGTCCCTGAGACGCGCTCTGGGTTCGAGGGCAGCAGGGCGGGCTCTCGGAGGCAGCCGCAGCGGCGCACCCTGGCCGGCCGACGCTGGGTGCAGAAGCGTGAACGTGGTTCAGCATCATTGGTTTCGCTTTCTCCACGGACCACGGAACCCCTTGGCGATGCTCGCATTTGGAGAGCTTGCCCCTCTGTGCCCTTTTGCGCCTCTAACAACGTGACGCTCCCGCGACGCGGCGCTCACCCCCTCCCCAAAGGAGAGCATCCGAGGCGGGAGTGGACCCGCCTCCGCCTCCGAGGGCGCTGGAGCTACAGCCGGTGCCGCGGGGCCAGCCGCCTTCCCCGGTGTGGGATCGCGCCCTGCACCGGTAACCTTAGGGAAAAGGGCCCGGCGACTGNCAGCCGGTGCCGCGGGGCCAGCCGCCTTCCCCGGTGTGGGATCGCGCCCTGCACCGGTAACCTTCCTGTAGCTTAGGGAAAAGGGCCCGGCGACTANCGCGGGGCCAGCCGCCTTCCCCGGTGTGGGATCGCGCCCTGCACCGGTAACCTTAGGGAAAAGGGCCCGGCGACTGTTGGGAGGGTAAAACGATGCGGCACTAAATGCCTGATATTCTGAAACGCAAATCCTATTTGATGTGCGAGTGCTGTTTTGGATTAGCCACGCCTGCTCTGCTTCAGCCAGCATGGAGAATCCTTTAAGATCTCCACTGCAGCCGTTTCCTCGGGAGGCAGCTTTTAACCCCGCAGGCTGGGCCCAGAAGGACCGCGGCTTTATGTGTCTGTCACTGAGCTGACCTTGCTTTCATTGGTCATTCGTGTGTGTGGCTGTCTGTCACCAAACCTGGTTTTCTCCAGGCTGAGGGCGCCTCTGCAGCCCCAGTGCCCTCATGTACCACCTTGCACGCGGTAGGCGTTTAAGAAATGTTAGATGAGCCCAGTCGGTGTGGCTCAGCGGTTGAGCATCGACCTAGGATCCAGGAGATCGCGGTTCAATTCCCCGTCAGAGCACAGGCCCGGGTTGCGGGCTCGATCCCCAGCAGGGTGCATGCAAGAGGCAGCCGATCAATGACTCTCATCATTGCTGTTTCTATCTCTCTCTCCCTCTCCCTTCCTCTCTCTGAAATCAATAAAGATATATTTAAAAAACATTTGATGAATGTAAGCATGAGAGTCAGTTACAATCCTAAGAGAAGCCTGCTCTTTGTTACTACTGTTCATTAATTTTATAGGACCCACATCCGATCATTTTTCTTCTCTCTGCAAATCTCTTATCAACCTCAGAGGAAAAGAGAACCACACACTGCTTGGTGTCCCCCAGTGAGCAGTGAATCCATTGCTAATTTAGTGAGGGTGCATTTTTTTGGTTCCAACCCCGGATGATTGACAATGACCAGTCTAAAGCCTGGGACGGACTGTGTCCTGTTGAACTGAGGACCCCTCCTCTAGAGGATTCTGTCTAAATGACCACCACACACAGTGGTAGCAGAAAAATGCTGGAAATAGATCTATAGCTGCACATAGAAATGTGTTTGTAAAACCATGTGAATTTGGCATCTAATTAGGAGTGAACCAATATGAAAATAAGCCTTAGTAAATTATTAATGATTTTCTCAGGGCATCCTACTTTGAAATCACCTTGGCCTTACCCTTCAGAGATGTGTGTGTGTATGTGTGTGTGTATACATATGTCAGGTACATATGTACATATATTTATTATAGATATATATATATATTATAGATGTATATATATTTACACAACTGCCGTTTATTTTGTGCTGATATGTGAGTGGCCTGCTTCTCTGCAGCTCACATGCAACCTGGTTTTCACTTGCTGATGTCTGGCCTCTGCATTTGCCAGTGCTCTTTGTAACTGTCTACAGTACAGTCTCCGGTCTCCTAAATTTACTGTGTCCTGAACCCCTGCTACGTTCCGTTGGTGGCTGAAATTTCACATGCATTTATTCAATGTGTGTTTCCCGAGCTCCTCTTGTGTTGTTTAAAATTGAAGTGATGTGTTGTGTAGCAGTGGGTCTGGCACTGCCTCTTATTAGCTGTGTGACTTCGCTGACCCTCTGTTTGCCAGCTGTAAAATGGGCTGCTGCATATTAGTCAGTGTTCAGAACAGCACCCGACTCAGAGGTACTGTAGTTAAATGGATGCCATTTTCGGTAGCTATCTTTCCTCACGTTGGATTTCCACATGGAAAGTTCGACTGTGTAGCACCTCATGTAACGATCTGCCAGCTTCGAGCCCTACACATCTTCTCCCATCCAGCCGCTCGGGGCTGTCCAGCTGCCAGCCCACGTTCCTGTGTCGCTGGCTCCCCGGTCTTGTCAGCACCGTGTGCCCACCGCACCTGCCTGCATGATTTAGTCACCCAAATAAACAGAAGTCCTTTCGTTAACTCAGATATAAGAATAATCCCTTACACGTTCGAACATTTCTTGGAACTCTAAAATTTCCCCTAAATCTTTCACGTCTTCCCTCTGGAACGTTTTACTAATGGGAGGTAATCTTGTCTGTATGGATCCCTGAATAATGATCTTTGAAATCTGACAACTTATATTTATTTGTAAAATGAGGTCAGTCCTCACTTGGTACTTACTTTTTTTTTAGAAAATTCCAATAAAATGGTGCATGTTTGACAAAATTTGTGATGAATGCTGAACTGATGAGCTCCCCTTGGTTTCCACTTTCAAATTTGAGACCTTACTGTGCTGATCTTGTGACACTGTCCCAATTCAGTGGGGACAGCGGGGCCGGAGCTCCCAGGAACCCGGGCTTTGTCCAGTCTGAGACGAGTCTGCCGGAGCTGCTCCCTTCCTGTCCGGTTATTTAGACAAATAATTGCCGGGCTCTTAAATCTCTTCTCATGCAAACGAAGGACACGGGGCCGTGGAACCCAGTTAGACCTGCTGCCACCTGACGTTGTCCAGCCTCCGTGTTTACGCTGCAAACAATGTTGCTTGGTACTTGGTAATTTTTTCATTAGACTCATAGGGACATTTTTGGATGACCGGTTACAGTGAAGATTGATAGAAAATGTTGCTGTGCGGGCCAGTGAGAAATCAACGGTAGAGTCTGTCTCACACCCCATCACAGGCATGTGGATGGAAATAGGGTCCTGAGAGCCCCCCCAGGCAGAGATCTGGGCTGAGAGGCAGGCAGCATGGCGTGTGCTGTGTACCCCAACTTCAGAGTGGCATTGAGCCCTCAGCATCAGTTATCTTTGAGAATAACAAGTGGAATAGAAATAATGATAAATACCATAATAGCAGTAATAACAGTAATTACAGAAATGGCAACACATCAGTAATTACAACGACCGTCTGATGGAGACCTGTCCGTTCCCCCTGCTCTCCTGGGTGCTCACACTGGCCGTCGGTGAGGGGTCACCTGGAGGGGAGGCCCTTTCGTCGCTAGGAGGAGGCAACAGAGGGTGTCCGAGCTGGGCCCAAATCCACAGAGTCTTTTCTTTATAGTCAAGTTCCTCTTGATTGTCGAGCCGTCACCATCATTCATTCCTTAGCATTTGGTGATTACAAGGCACTGAGTTTATCTCTAGTGGGAGCTGATCCTCATAGTTTTGGAAGCTGAGCAGTCGATGTCCACTCACTGGCAGGACCCAGTTTCTGGCTGTTTCTCAGGGAAGGGTCTGCGATCCGTTGCTACCACCGGTGAGGTGCCTCTGGTTCATCCACAGGAGGGAGTTGTTCCTCCCTCCGCTTCTCCTTCCCACACTCTGCAGCCAAGCTCTTGGCTACCTGAGGGAAATGGAGAGGCACGGAGCACAGGGGACCATGCCAGACCCTGGTGGGCTGCCTCCTGAAGCTCAGGAGGGCTGCCCGGGGGCCTCAGACGTCACTCCGGGCAGCCACGCCAACGACTCACGTGTTTTCCAAACACAGGATGGTACCATCGTTAGAGGCTTCGCCGGGATCCTTTGGCGTGCGGCTTTTAGTTGAGTAGTTCTGGGTTTTGCGCAGGCTTTGCATCACCTTTGGGTTTTGTTTTGCAGAGGCCAGTGTGAAGGAGAGCGCTGTGAGGTACATGGACGCGCTGGAGGACAAGCTGCGCAGGTGAGGACAGCGACCTGTGTGACAGACCCCACTCGCATCTGCATTCCGCGTCATAACAGCGTGTGGTGAGGCAAAGGAAAGGCTGGCCAACTTCTGTAATAAATTAAGAGAAAAACGCAGAAAGGCATCCGCTGAATCTTGTAACAGAAGGAGCAGGTGCCACACAAACACCTCCCAGCCCCTTTCTTCTCATAAAACGTAAACAGATTAAAATGTTTAAAGTGGCCCGGGGATCACAGGTTGTGTTCATGATCCGTAAGAGGAGGAACCTTCTTTGGCTTGTTAAATTCAAGCTTCCGGCCTTCGTTGGTTTATCTTTTCTTTTTCGTGTCTGGGGAGGGGAGGTGTCCTATGGATTATGCTTCAGCTTCTACGATATAAGAACCCACATCTTAGGTTCTGTGTTGAATCCTGATTCTAAACCAGCATGAAAATTCCTGGTTGCTTTTTAGAAAAATTTTTAACCCAATTAGGAATTCAAATTTGAGAGACGTCAGTGACGCTGTGGCCTGTCGGGGTGTTTCTGGTTTGTGCACTTGCGAAAATAGAGCCCAGCCACCAGGCCTGTTTCTAATTAAGGAAACAGGCCTGAGCCTGCACAATGCGCTGCTTCCCTGGGACGCATCAAACTTTATGGAGACTGTTTTGCTACTATTTTGGAAATTGTTAATAACTCTTTAAATAAGCTGCGCCTTAGACCTCTATCTAAGTCTAGATAAGGCCATCGGCTGAAACACTGCTTCTCCGCCCAGAGGTGGTGAGAGGGGCTGCCTTGCTGAGCTCTGCTCTGCTCTGCTCTGCGGGGCCAGCCGGGCCCTATAGCATTTACTCTGATGCTTAGAGAGCAACTTCTTCTGACCCCCGCTGACATCTCCCTGCTCAGTGCCTCAGACGCGGGAAGGACCTAGGACGAAGGGGGTTGGTGGAGAGTGTGGGGTCAGGAGGCATGCATGTGGGTAGGAGGTGGCCTCGAAGGTAATGTCTCTCCTTGAAAGTAGGATGCTCCCCTGGGCCAGGCGTGGCCCTGAGCCCGCCTCCGCTCCTGTCCCGAGGCAGGTTTCTGCAGGTCCCTCTGGATCTTAGCTCCCACCACCTTTTTTGAGCCATTAGCACCTCGCCCCGGTGCACGCGCATCCTCGTGACTCCGTCTTCTCTCTGCAGCCTTCCGCCTCTTCCTGCCGCCTTGTTGGTACCCACCGCGGGAGCCTCTGGCGGCAGCTCGTTGCCAGGCCTTCAGTGTGATAGTCAGACTGCGAGCTCCATGCCCTACTTGCTTTGTATCCCAAGTGGCCGGCACGCTGTTTGCACGTGGTAGACAGTCAGTGAAATGATAACGAATGCAGGGATGAACGGACCAAGAGCAATTGTATCTTGAAACTCTATTCTGAACTATTGCATCCAGAAGCCAAGGCAGCCTCAGAAGATGCAGTGGCCCAGAAATCCATTTGTCTTGCCATCAGATCTTGGTGGTATGGAATATATAGCAAAATAAAAAGCAATCTACTCTCAGGTCGCATTACCCCTTCAGGCTTACTGTCTCCAGAGGGAATACTTAGGTGTGATACTTGGCATGGCTCATTTTCTCTTACGGCCGAAACTTGCTTTAATTTCTAGTTTCTCGATTGTCACATATTCTCTGTTAGTGCTGGAGAGACATTCATTTCCTGATTTCCTCATACTAATCGGGTGTCGCACTGAGCACATGGTCACCCCTCCACCGCTCCCTTTGTCTTCACACCCATAAAGGAAAACGAAGTAATTCTACGGCAGGAGAGTCAGCACTCAGACTGCACAAAGGAGGCGGAGGAAGAGGCAGAGACCCGGGGACTGAAAGGACACGATTACAGAAGGCAGAGGGGTTGGGGTTTAAAAAGGGCAGCCGCTGCCTTCAGGCAGGGCTCCTGGGCCTGTTCAGGCGCGTGGCTCTTAGCAGCAGAGTAACTGAAGCCCGAGCCTCCCTGTCTGGGGAGCGCAGCCCAGATTCGACCACTGAGCGATGCCGGCGGGTGCGGAGGCCGCTCATGGTCACCCTAACAGTGACCGGGACTCTTCCAGATCCCGCACGTGCTCTTTATCCCAAGTGATGCACGGCGATTCTGAAGTTCCTGCGCACCTGGAACAATCCAGGTTCAACCACGTTGAGCTGATTTCAAGAGCTGTTGAGGGAAATGAATATAAGAGGCGGCGGCCAGCTGGACCCCTGCCCGGCGCTGCAATGACAAGGAAGGCAGGAGCACAGGGACACCGCCGTTTGTTTTCTCCTGTTTTATTTTATTGCTTTGTTGCTGACATGGGCCTTCCTCCTCTCCCTCTTAACATGTGGCGGAACGTGTTCGCGCTTCCCGACCTCACTTCTGCTCGGAGAGCCCGGTCCCTTCCTCGCCGCCCTGTGCGGCCTTGACCCCTTTGCGCGTTGCCACCTCTGCTTCTCGGAAAGACCGAGGATCTCGGCTTCTTTCTCTCTCTTCCCTGATTTGGAGCAACCCCCCTGCACCCCAGTGGGGACTGTTTGCACTTTGTCAGCAGGTTCTGTCTGTCTGTCTGTCTCCGTCTTTCTCCTCTCGTTAGCAGGAGACAGTTGGGACAGAGACTGGGAGAAGCTCAGGTTTCCATCCCTGCCTGGTACACGGTCCCTCCATCCGTCAGTCCGTTTAAGCCCACAGGCCCCACTGGGCTTGTCCCTCTGCTGGCTCCTGTCTCGCCTCCTGTTTACCTCCCCTGCCCTTTGCTCACATGCTTGGGGACCTGAGTTTTCTCTCCGTCTGTCCGTGTCCTGCCTTTTCACCTCATTTGTCCGCTTGGGGCTCAGTCCTCACACACAGGAAATTCTTGCGACTCCACCATTGGGTGATGGATAGAGCTATTTTTAGCAAGCCCACATGTTCATTCTAAAACCAAATAAATCGACCCTACAGGTCACAGACACAAAAGCTTTCAGGAAAATACCGATGGTTAGGTTTGCCCACTTCTGAATATCGAAGCAATTTGGCTGCATCGTGTAATTTTCCAGGGGAAACAATGATCTAAACTACCTTATTATTTGGAAATTCGAACTGATAAGAAAATATAAAGCATTTAATTGTACAGTGTTTTACATAACCATTAATTTAATATGTAGTCATTGATTGTTTCCATTTAATTTTTAACCTTATTTAATCTCAAACCAGAAAACCTCAGGTACACATAAAATAATAATGCTTAGACACATAAATACACATACGTATAGAAAAAATAACACATAAATGTAACAAGATGGCATGAATTATAAAAGAGTAGGAAAGAGAAGCNATTGTTTCCATTTAATTTTTAACCTTATTTAATCTCAAACCAGAAAACCTTAGGTATACATAAAATAATAATGCTTAGACACATAAATACACATATGTATAGAAAAAATAACATAAATGTAACAAGATGGCATGAATTATAAAAGAGTAGGGAAGAGAAGCGAAAACAAAGGCAGGGAAAGTCTTGGTAACACGTATATGGACTCCAACTCACACCATAGTAGTGTACTGTCCTAGACACTGGATTATGTATAAAACTGACGTTTAAAAATGTATATGTAAATGATTTCATTTATAATAAATGTTATAGGTCTACATTTGCCTTACAGTTCACTCCGATGATTTCCATTCTATAAGAACTCCAGGAATGAAATTTACTCAGAAATAACTTTCTCCCCTGAAATGTTCAGTTGTGATGAATTTAGTGCCCAGGGCACGCGGCTCATTTTAGAAGGCCTGCATTCATTTCTTTGGAAAGAGAAGACAGAGATCCTGCTTCTAGAACCCCAATGCCCCAATCGGGCAAGTCTGGCCTTCAGGGCAAGAAAAAGAGCTGCTGCCCCCAGTCCCACCTGGCTTCGAGGTCTAGTTCACAGGGGAGGAGTCCACTGTCCCCCTGGGCATCTGAGCAGGGGTGCCCAGACACCCGGATGCAGGGACTAATATGAAGGACCACCCTCCTCCTGGAGTGTTACCATTAAAAAACCAGCAACCCTCAAACCAACAAGTACCCTCCCTCCTGATGATGGTGGAGAACCCGAGGCAGTTACCTTTAAAGCCCAGGCTCTGGAGTCAGGTTGTCCAGATTCTAGTTTGTCCGCTTCCAAGCTGTGGGCTGTCACCAGGTTAAGAAATCTCTTCAAGACTCAGTTTTCCTTCATTAAAATGGGCCAGCAATAGAGTAAGATAAAGACTGTTTCTCATATGCAATAGGGCTTAAGAAATGCTGGCTATTGTTACCTTAGCAGCTATGGCACCATGAACATTATGGAAAAAAAAATCTACATTAAGAAACCCTTTATTTTATAAATCCAGAGAGAATCCCTCATCTTTCTGGTGACTTGGGGGAGGGGAGAAATGTTTGCTTGTATCTAACAGCCTCCATTAAGGGGCTGCACAGTGTGTTGATTGTCTAAACACTTGGCTGTTTCTGCCGCTTGCCCTTTGGCCAGCTGTTGGCACCTCCTGCAGAGGGTGGAAAGGGAAAGCAATGAGGTAATTGCCTTCTTGTTAATGGCTGTGACAAAGGTTGAGAGCCTCCCGTGGTTTCTGTGACCCAATGGCTGGGTTCCTAGCACTGAATCCTGGCTTTAGAACCAATCTGGCTGGGTGTGGAGTTTTTGAGACGGAGAAAGACCAGAGCTCACAGGCTCCAGAGCTCAGGGGATGGAAAGAATTAATCATCTCGCCTGTGACTCCCGGAGCTCCACGGCCCCTCATCTGGACCCTTTGTGGAGCCCAGAATAAAACCGCTTCAGCCTCAGAGAAGACATTTTTTGGGGAAAGTAACTCCAATAAACTGTCTTCTTTCCCTCCGATAGTCTCCTTTGAGAAAGTGAAGACGTTGCCTTAGAGAGAAGGGTGGGCAGAAGGAAAGAAGAGAATTAGAAGGCCGGCGGGCTTGTCTGATGAGGGCCTTCAAAGAGGGGAGAGGTCTTCCCAGAACCAAGGGCAAGGGGGGACCCGGTAGCGCAGCAGCGTGGTCCGAGGAGA